GGGGAAAATCCCACTCAGTGGGGTTATTACCTTGTTATTTAAGGTTTCGAAAAAAAATTTACCTCCTCCCTCCAAGTAAAACAAAACAAAAACAAAACAGCAAACATGAAACTGACTCTACACAGGATTGGGATTTTGGAGGGCTTGTATTATCCAGATTACTGGATTCATACAGTTGTAAGCCCCTTGCTTAACCAGGCTTGTGTAAATGGGATCAGTTCCTTGATCTGTTTGAAAAAGAATTTTTCAGCCTGTCACTAAGGGCCAAATCCTTCTTTTCTGCTCTTCTGCTCCTAAAGATATTTATAATTTGTTTTTGTGATTTATTGAAATTTGCCTGGCTGTGGGAGAACTGCAACTTTTAAGTTTTCAGTTTATTTAACTCTTGACTGCCTAGTCCACTCCTTTTGAGAAGCTTTGTCTTCTTAAAAGATGTTTCCATGAGATCATATTCTCATCTGAAGTTTATAGAATGGCAAGCTTAATAACACAGAATTTATCCTCCCATTTTCTTTATTGAGGTACTTAGACACAATGGGTAGTTGTGGGTATACAAAGACGGCCACAAATGCCCTCATACATTTGCTTCTGTTTAATAAATTTGGTGGCGAACCTTGGTTAAAATTGAGGTTTTAGGAAACTAGCCTCATAAATTCATGGTGGTAAAAGCTATTTTCTAACTAAATTGACTTTTTTTTTGCAACGTCATTAGTATCTAAAAACAGCATTCTGTGATTATCCCAGCTATTTACGTTGTTTAGATAATTTTTCTAAATACACAGAAAACATCAAAAATTTTCATCTGCGTTAGTCCCTCATTTCTGTGCTATATATCCTTTACTGATCAGCCTCTTAGTGGTATATAGGAGTGGATTGTCTTTTCTTTAAATGAACACTCTATTCACTTAAAAAGCTCTTTTCTTCTATCTTCCTTTTTCCTCTTTATCTTGTTTTTCTTAATTCTTCTCCCAGACACCTTCTTTCTCACTTTAACTTCCTGCTATGCCTCTCTGCCAGAGTCTGTATCTTTTTTCTGGTGACCTGGAGATTGGTAACAATAGTACTAGCAGTCTCGGGCCAGGATCCTGGCCAGGCCAGCAGTAGCAGGAAAGAGAGATGAGAGTGACCATATAGCTAGGCTGGTTTATTGGTTTTGAGTTGCACCAATGGGAGGCATCAAGGAAATAGAACATATTTTATTCCATGTAATATGCCTTTATAGAAGACATCCCAATTTTACATGACATGGGAGAAAGCATATCTCCTCAATTCTTTCCCCATGGGCATGGCAATAAAACAGAAATGTATAAACATTTGAGAGGCAGGGATTTATTCCTCCAGGGCCTGCCTGAATTATAGGGCATTCTGGTGTTTCCAATGTCACTTACGATGCTGCAGCAGATGAAGATTGAGTTCTTTGGCTGTTGTAACAAATTATCACAAATTAGTGGCTGGAAACAACACAGACTTACAGTTCTGATGGTCAGAAGTCCTAACATCAAGGAGTGGGCAGGTCTGCAGTGCTCCTTCTGAAGGCTCTAGGGGAGAACTTGGTCCTCACCTTTTCCAGCTTCTAGAAGCTGCTTCTATTCCTTGGCTTGTGAACCTCTTCCATCTGCAAAGCGAGCACTCACATCACTCTGATGTCTGCTTCTACTGTCACATCTCCTCTCACTCTGAGACCCCTGAGACCCTGCCTCCCTCTTATAAGGACTCTTGTGGTCACATTGGGCCCACCCACATAATTGAAGAAAATCTCCCCATCTCATGATCCTTAACTTCATCATATCTGTAAATCTGCTTTGTCATGCAAGGTGACATACTCACTGGTTTTGGAGATGAGCACATGGACATCTTTGGGGGTCCATTATTCTTCCCACCACATGCCTGTTTTACAATCAGTTGCTTACCTTTTACTGCCATTGATGTTAGTCTGAGGCAAATTGGAGTCAGGTGGATTATAGCATTTTTCGTGCTATTTTTACCTTTTTTGAATCTTCCACATATGAAACAAAATAACAACTGTGCTCTGATCAATCTAAAGAACAACATGAGTTCCAACCCCCAGAGCTCTGTTGATCCATGCATTCTCGGTGCTTGACGCAGAGAATCTACTGGGTTTTGAAATCTTAGTGCTAATGGCTGGTACATTCCTGAGGTATTGTGCCCACCAAAGATATAAAGCAAATCTAATCCCCTGGATAAAGGTTCCAAATCCACAAAATTCCAACTCTGTCTCTCTACTAAGATCTGATAGTTCTGAGAGCTTGCAAGAGTTGTTACTGTACCTTCTCATGGCCAGTTTCCACAAAGCATGCTATAAGAACATTGCATCATCCACATTAAATGTGCAATCTATTGTCAGCTTCAGTCAGACCAGAAAATGCTTTTCTACTGAAATTTTAAGAGTGGTGCCTCATGCAAAAGAAAAAGCTCTTTATTCTCTTTGTCTCCATACGTTAGAGAAGCCAGTGTGGAGAGTTTGAGGGGAGGAATGACCAGTGAGGCTGGCGAGACGGCAGACACCAGGTGGTAGAGGTGGGGGGCTTGTTAAGACACAATCTTCATCCTAAGGACAGTGGGAAGTGCTGAGGAAGTCTAGGTAGATGAGGAGAGGAGGGCAAGGGAAAAGTCAGGGCTGATTACTGGGCATTTTGGCTTGGGGGCCACTGGATGCATGGCAGCTCCATTTGCTAAGATGGGAAGACAGAAGAAGAAGAGCGGAGCTTGGAGGCAAGATGCAGGGTAAGATGGAATTGCCAGCGGGATATCCAAGTGGAGATGGCAAACAGGCTACGGGGGTCTGAGGCTCAGGAGAGAGGTTTCGGCTTGCAACGTGGATTTCTGACTCATCAGCGTTAAGGACGGCATTTGGGGACTCTACCGGAGACAGTATACAGACTTAGAAGATGGCATAAGACAGAGACCCAAGGAGCAACAACATTGAGTGGTAACTGGAAAATCAAAAAGATTAAAACATCTGTACCCATTTCTTGGGTCTTATTATTGGAAACAGGTTTGGTCACAATTAAATGTGACTTGAAAGTAGTTTATGTATAAAACAGGGACAGTAATTCCTCACCAGCATCACCAGGTGATGAGGTTCAAATGAAAAAATGTATTTGAAAATATCTGGGAAGTGTTGCACAGATTGCTGTTTCTGATTCAGAAGATCTGGGGTAGCACCTGAGACTCTGAATGATGCTCAGGCTCTCAGGTGATGCTGATGTCACTGGCTCAGGATCATCTTTCGAGAACCACTACATAACACAAAGGAATTATGCTTTTGCTTTTATAACAAAACTCACTGAGTTTTCCTTTGATATTATAGTCTGTTTCATCCCCTGATACGTTGAAATTTCTTTACCCCGTTTCGCATCTAGCAATATCAGTCGCACAGGTGAGACCACTGCAGTATTCTGTTGATTGTTTACAGCAGCGATCAACGACTAAGGACGACAGGAACAATATACGGTATTTTTTATGGGGAGAAAGAGATAAGAAGGAGGTCTTTGGAGTTAGACGTGGGATTTCTTCCCCCACCAAGTCAGTTAGATATAAAATGCTACTTCTTACCAACTTTCACAAATCCCATTAGAAACCTTGTAATTTGATCCAGAGGGACCAGCACGAGGAGAGGCAGGTAAGAGGAAAAATTGACCTCATTCCCCAGTCCTTTCTTCAATCCTGAGAAACGCGTGCACCTCAACACTCCCTGTTCCAATCCCACAAAACAGGGAATCAGGAAAACACATTAGCACCCTGGTACGGACCAGGATACGGCGCTGGGAGGGGACCAGGCACCGTCGAGGCAGGAGGGAGCTGGGGGAGGGGAGGGAGAACTTCCCTGCAGGAGACGTGGGGACGCGCACCTCAGCCCTCAGCCCCACGCTCTGCCTCACGCACGTGGAAGCAGAGGGAGGAGGGGAGCTCCGGCGGCTGTTTCTGAGGGAAGATTAGGAGAGATAGAGCGTCCTGCCTCACCTCTTCCCTCCCGGAGGCCATTTCTCCATTTTTAACCGGAATAATGAGGGGGCGCCGACTCAGTCAGTAAAATCCCAAATAGCGCCTTCCGCGCAGCGAACCCTGCCTCGGCCCCCGGCCCAGGCCGGAGCGGTGGTCTTAAGGGACACTGAAGTTGCTCCGCGCAGGGGGCGGGGTCGCCATGCTCCTGTCCAATCACGGCGGCCGCTACGGCAATTTGCATTCATTATGCTAATAACAGACCTCCCGCTCCGCTCCCACCCAAGCTCCCCGCCCCCGCCGGGCCCCCCGCGGGCCAAGGTGAACGCATTACGGTAACGAGGCGAGCGCCGGCTTTGCCTGCGAGGGGGCGCTGTGAGGCGGGAGCTGCGGCCGGACGCGGGCGCCGGCGGGGTCGGGGGCGGGACGTCGCGCGCGCTCACACAGTCTCTCACACACCCGCGAGCATCCCGGAGGGTATTTAAGGCTCGCGCTCGCGGCGCTGAGGAGATACTTCGGCCTCGCGACGCGCGTTTGCGCCCTGGTGCGTTTCGTTTCCTCTCTCCTCTGCCCTCGGACGCCGCTTTCCCGCGGGCTCTCGCGGGCTCCCTCAGCCTTTTTGCCTTGAACTGCATCCAGGTGGGAGACAGGGCGGCGTGAGGGGACAGCGAATAGGTGGAATCAGGCAAACTAGCGGACGCAACAGGTCCGGTGCCCGGTGGCGAGGGGAGCGGCGGCCTCGCCCGTGTCGCTCGGACCCTGCGCTGCGTTCCTGGGCGCCTCGGAAGCGGTGTCTGTCCCCGGGGAGTTGGGGAGCTGTCCGAGTGGGCTTCCTTTCGGGTTTTACCCCGTCGGCCCCACGTCCCCTGACGGAGGGTGCTTTTCACTCCAGCCGTGAGGAGAGAAGGGCGCGGAGGATGCTGCTCGCCCGCGGGTCTCGGCGCTGAGGAAAGCGGGGTCCGTCTCCGCGCCCCCGGCAAGTTGTGAAGCCACAGGGACTGAACTTCGGAGAAATCGTCCTTTTTCTTTCCTTTTGAGATTACTGGGGGTGAGCGAGGGTGGGAGGCGAAGCCGCACCAGCCGACCCTGCCACGATGCTGGTGAAGAAGCACGCGGGGAAAGGAGGGGGCCGGGATCCCGGATCCGAGGACCCGAGCCCTGCCGGGCAGCGTCGTGCCTGGACCGTGACCCCGTGCGCGGCCCTGGCGGCCCTCCTGTCTGTGGTGGCCTTGATGTCTTGTCTCTACCTGGGGGTGAAAACCAACGACCTGCAGGCGAGGATCGCTGCTCTCGAATCCGCCAAAGGGGCCGCTTCCATTCGTCTGCTGCCAGATACCGTGGATCAGCTCAAGGCCATGGTGCAAGAGAAAGTGGAGCGACTTCTGGCTCAGGTGTGAAAGGCTGGGGTATTTTGCACGCGGATAACATCTTGCACAGGCGCGGTTCTGTGTGTACTCTGCCCTTACTGTGTGCACACTCGGTGTGGCTGTGTGCGCGTGTCAGGTGACGAGCTGCACTGACTGTGGCATGTATTTGTATATGCACATGCCTTGATATTGCCATCCCTGTCTTTGTCATCGTCCCTCACTCTTCCTTAGTGTTTGCATGCTAAACATAAATAAATGTCTAAAGGGAGGGGAGGGCGGCTAGAATGGCAATGGGGTATTTTATCTCCTTTTAGTTTTCTTAAGTTGCATGTGAGTCTTTCCCAATTGTGTGGAGAATCTTGCAGACACAATGTGTCTTTCATGTGTTATAAGGTTAGCCATAGGTGTTATTAATAGATAAAAGGGAATCACCCTTAAAAGTGAAATAACACCATGTATTCTTTAAAAGTCAATAACTTCACACATTGAATCTTTTTATATTAATTTAATTTTTTTTAAGTAGCTCTATTTTTAGTAAAGGATGCAGTGCCGGGGATGTTTATGAATGCAGAATCATTAGAGTTAAAAGGAATTTATGTTATGTTTAAGGGCACCTTTAGACTAGAGTTAGGGGGTTTTCTGGCACTTGTTCTTCCAACAAGGAGGCTATCAGTAGTTGCAGCACAGCATCATAAAGCAGTTAACTTTCCTGTATAAAATATGGACTGTTGACCTTCGTGTATACAATATTGGCTGTTGCAGTTTTACACTAACTGCACCACGTTACTGCCAGCTTTATGCATTGACTGCATACGCTTGAGCTGAGGGAGAGACGGTGATAGTCGAAGAATGGAGAGAGACGTTATACAAATCTAGCAATCTTGATACCATGTCAATGGTCATTTTCTTTTTTTAGAAACTGTGCTTGGGCATGGTTAACTTTTGACTAAAATCGAAGTACATATGTAAATATTAGTTACGTAGGCTATCAAATGCTGGTAAATCAAGCATATGGCCAGAGAGTCCCTAAAGAATCCATTTCTCTATAATGCTACTGATGGTTGTTAATACCACTTCTTTTCCTACAGAAATCCTATGAACATGTGGCTAAAATAAGAATCGCAAGAGAAGCACCTTCAGAGTGTAACTGCCCAGCAGGTAAAATGGAACTTATTTAACAAGGTTTCCTCCAGAGCAGAGCACTTTAAAACAAAAGTCCTGTGTCTGTCAAGTCTCTATATAATAATAGTAAAGAAAGAATGCAGACCCAACTTGCTTTAATAAAATCAACATGTCTCAGTGAAAAGGATGGCAAATAAAGCCCTAAATATTATTTTAAGCAGCATACCACTGTTCGTTATGGGAAAGCAAAAGAGATAGAAGATAGTCACCAAGGAAAATACAGGCAAGATGATGTACAAAGACAAGCTTCTTTGAATTCACAGATTGAAAAATATTTTCAAGTTTATTAAATTATTTTAATGTCTGGCGAAATGGACTGTAGAACTGTTAGATTCTGAATTCCCTGGTGGCTAATACTGCAGTAGTGCAGGATTTTTTTTTTTTTGGTTCCCTTTGGCATACAATGATGTTAGTAAAGCACCTTCTCTTCCTTTCCTGCTCTTTTTCTGTTCTAGCAAAAAGGTTCTGTATCCAATCCTATAGTTAAAGATAAGAACTGAAAGGAAATTCGTTCTTTGCTTGAGCTTCCCGTTACAGATTATTGCATTCTCAATGACTTTTTAGAAAAGGCTCATATTTTTACCTTTTTTTCTGTGCAGCTTCAGGGAACTATGTTAAGGACAGCAAGTTAGTAGAAGGACGGAGAAGAGGAACATCATGAATAAAGTTCCCTGGGTGATCATTAAATCTTCCTTCTCGGGAAGGAAGACCCCTGAGGCTTGGTGGTCATCCATAGACCTCACAAGTTAGAAGCCCTTGGAATATGGCCACTGGAAAACAGATAAACATTGTTAATGCATTTATGAACATTTTAGTTTCTTTCATCATCTCACGGAAAGTGAGTCTGTTCATTTTCTTTAATATTCAGGAACGTGATACTTAGATACTTACATATAGAAAAGCTAGTTTCTGTATTCATATTCCGAGATTTTTTTTTTCCTTTCACGATAACTTGTTTTGACACAGCTAAACCAGACACCATGTTTAGAAATTTTAAATATCAACACCAGGTTGTACCTTATAAAAATGTTACTATTTATATTCTGTTACATTGTTGCCCATAATGGAGCTGTATTTTTACATGAAGCACTTTTGACTGAGAAGACATACACTTTAGGTACCAGAAAAACAAAGAGTTAATGTTTGACACTGTAGGTTTCATTCTTAGTTGTTTTAAGATGGGAAAGACCTCAGAAGTCAGATATTCAAGGAAGGCACTTTTCTAGTGCAGGAATTAATTCACAGCCACCTCATCAGCCTGGAGGGATTATTTAATTCCCAGCACACGTGGTACAGGACTTCACTGATCATACCACTTAGAGTCTAGCATTTTTTTGTATGTAGCATTCTTGCTAGCTGTGTGAAAAATAACTAGTGCTTAATTAGTACGATTCTTAGTAAACTCGCTAAAAAATAAAAAAATGGTAACAGCAACCCTGCATTCTGTTTTTCGAGAAGATATAATTGCTTCATGATGTTTCACATAGGTTAGTTATTGAAGTCTAACTTGTAATCTGTAAGAAAGCTATTACATTTAGAATTTAACTTAGAAGATTATTTTGGACCATTTTTCATCTTAGCATGTTGATTTAATAATAAATGGTGATTTGCTTGGCTTTTTTATTGGCTCTCACTAATAGCTGCTTTACTTCCTTCCCACCACTAGAGCTCCACATTACCTCAGTTTTTACCTGGCTACTTGTGAGGTAAACATTTGAAGGTGTGCATTCCTATATACAGAACCAAGCAGGTTTCTTGCTGTCAAACCACTGTTATAGAAACAGTCCGTTTTGCCTGTGGAATAATCAGATATTATCCAAATAAAGGCATTGTGTTGAAAATAGTATCCCAGGAAAAGCTAGTTGTTCTGAATTATGATCAGTGAGGTATTTGTCTTAGGGAATGAATGGGCTGGCCAAGAGGATTAATAAGGAGATACAGCACTTCCCACCTGGTTTGGCTCTAACCCTGGTTTGCAGTGACTAAGAGTTGTCACCCAGACATCTGTTTGTTGGGCAGAGTGAGACAAGTCTGTGACCTCAGCTCAGTTCCTGTGGACAGATGCCCACCCCTTGAAGTTGACACTCTTGTTGACAGTTTCAGTCACAGAGCCAAGAACTGATAGCAAAGAAGTAAGGCTATGTTGTTTCTGATCACTCTAATTGCTTTTGACAGAACTCAATCCCAGTGAGGTTTATCCAGGTAGGCTATAAGGTAATCGAAGAATTTATAGATTTTTTTTTTTTTTTTAATGCACAGGAAAGAACCTCTGTGGGAGAGGCATGAAAAAGACTATTTGTTGAATGACTTCTAATTGTAGGGGATACATTCTCTTATTTAATTTTCACAACAACCCAGAGAGTTAAATATTAGTAATCTCATTTTACAGATGAGGAAATTAGGACTCAGAGAAGGTAATTAAGTTAATATAGTAAAGACAAGGTCAAGATTCCTGCCCACATCTGATGGAATCAAAAGTCCAAAGTCTAATGAGGAATACAGAATGAGTACAGGTTTTGGAGCAGGGTAATTCTGGATTGGAATCCTGGATCTACTATGGAATAACTTTGTGACATTGGTCAAACTAATAAACTTCTTCATGTTCCAATTTCCTTATCTGCAAAAAAACGGCGAATAATACTTTCCTCATAGGGTGATAATTTACCTAAACAGTGTGGCATATTAGTGGCTATCCATTCATTAGGTGATAGCAATTACTATTCTTTTTACTGTACTGTATGCTACTTAACTCTGGTCTACAGAGACACATGAAATAGGTGGGAAAACTGAGACCCGGAGATGTTGTATAATTTGCTTACAACTCCATGGCTAATCGATGGCAAGTTTTGGACTAGAACACTATTTGTAATTAAACAAATATATCTATAGATTATTCATGCAAATTATTCATACTAGTCAATATTTCTTGGTGTTGTATCAATGAAGATTGGTTCTTTATAGATATTTATATTAGTCTCAAAGATTATTTTTACCAAAATTGCAAGGAAAACTTTTGACCTTTTAGGTAAACTGTAATTGAAGTGGATAGGACCAGGGCTTAAAAGAGCATGGGGATATTAAAGAATATCTTTACAGTTATAATACCAGATGTTTACAAAAAGAAGTAGTTTAACTATATGACTAATTTTCAGACTTATTTTAGCAGCTTTATTATAGTATTATTTGTAATATTTATCCATTTTAATATTTTTAAAATAAATTTATGGAGTTGGGCAGCCATCACCATGATTCAGTTTTGTATCATCTTTGTAACCTCGGAAAATTCACGTTTACTTTTTTCATGCACTCAAGAGAAGCTCTATTTTCTAAAATATTTGCTTTAAAGAAACCCCCAAATAATAATTTAAAAAAACCCATACAAATTGAAGCTGTGTTTAGCAGAATATTTGATTCAGCAGCTGCTGAGCCATGGAAATTCAGCTGGCATCTGTGGCTTGGCCTCTGTAAAATTCGACTCTCACTTGAGAGATTTAGTTGGCTCTTTGCTATGGCTGTAGGATTCTGTTTTGGGTTCTTTTCTTGGAATTCTACATAAAGTATGCATAAACCAGGCATATTTATGGGAAGGTTTCTATGTTCCAACTGATAAAGAACACTGGGAGCCAGGCAGCCAACCAAAAGATGTTTAGATCACAAAGATTTGTGTATCTTACTCATCGATAGTGTTGCTTGCCCAGGGAATTAGATATAAGAACCTCTGTGGTGTAATGGATGGAGAATGTAAATGGGAAATAAAGGATCCAAAGTTGTAATCTGGCTTTGTCGTTGACACGTTGTATGATTTGGGGCAAGTCCTTTCCAAGAATGACTTTTACAAAATCTATTTTCATATCTCTAAAATAGGAATGCTGGACAAGAATGATTTTGAAGGGCCATCAGTCGATTCTCCAGGTTAAATGCCAAATACTAGATACTAGGAAAATGCCGATGAACAAGGCAGACTTGGTATCTGCCTTCATGGAATTTATATTTCAATGAGGATTACAGACATTTATTTAAAAGTGAAGTGAATTCGCAGGTGTGATAAGTGTAAACGAAAAGTATAGTGTGCTTTGGAGCACATGACCAAAATCTCTTCCATTTTTGTAAATACTAAGGATTCTTTTTCTTTTTTCTGGGGAAAAAAAGAGAAAAGTACAATTCTGTTGTAGAAATTCACAGTAGGAGAAAATCTGTCTTCTAATGAAAAATAAAAGCTCTAGCAATGGAAAAAGAGCTGATTTGCAGAGCTTCATTTGCTTTTGGCTTTCCAAGAATTTATGGGTAGATAAAGGTACATTGATACCTGGTATACCTAGACTGATACCCCAACTGTAACAAAAAAGTAACTTTTAATACATAAAGTGTTATTGTAGATAGGATGATGATGATTGACTTTTCTACTTTTCTCTTGGAAAGATTTAGGTTGAATAAGAGGAGAAACCTCCTGTCTGAGACACTGAGCAGTAGCACCAGACCCGGCTACTGTATACTCAGTGATAATCATTAAATGTAGCACAACTAGTCATCTGCTTGAAGAGTTTAGCTAGAGTTAAAAAAGGTATATTAAGATAACTTCTGAGGTCCCTATAAGTCTATGAAAATAATTGTGCACAAAATAAGAATAAATGTAGACAAGCAAAAAGTACCTCAGATTCATAAATGTGAATGATATAGCCCCTGGTGACTGACTTCGTGGCATCTTCTCAATTTGGGGTGGAAATAAATGTTAACTGTAGCTTTACAGTTGTGTACCCTTTGTATAAGAACCTTTCAATTATCTTGTTAAGATAAATTTACTTTATCATATAAAACGTGTATTTCTTACTAAGATGGTTTTTCACTCATGCTGTGCATTTTTCTAACACATTGCACAATGAATGGAAAGAGTGCATCAAGTAAGGGGACAATAATGTGCAGATTTTCAATTATGTTAGGGAAAGAATAGTTGGAAATAGTTTGCAGAAAGCAAGCAA